TACGAGAACAATATGCATCTTCCTAGCTACCTAACACACAAAGGTATGGTGAAAAATGATCAGTCAGTATTCTTAAGAAATACCCTAAAGTTGAGAGATAATGGCTAAATAGTAAATACTATTATCCGTTTTTCCACTAAGATGAACAAATGCATTATGCGGTGTGACTTCCAAACCTCCGGGCCCCCCGCATAATTCCTAAATTTCAGCAGCTATTTTTTGTGTATTTTTATCTGAAAGTAAAATTTAAATGAATATTCTGGAATGTGGACCAAGTTTTTAAAACCAAAGATTAAAACAGCTAGGATATTTATATATGAAAATATTACAGACTGTACCTACTGTACCTGGGTTGCTAAATATAATCTACCTGAAATAAGAGGAGGCTTGCACTACTGATTTCAACGGTACACTGCACAGTAAGAATGATGCACTTCCTGAAAGGCTTTATGTAAATAGAGACCTTGTGGACCATCTGCGCATTAGGTATAGTGAGGAGAGTGAGTTAGAGTTCAGTGAGACTTGCATGGCAAGACTGTTGCTGCTTGCATCCACTGAATTTGAAAAGTTTGGGGCTCAACCAAGACTGGCTTAGTAAAACGGAAATTATAATATCCACTGCTAAGATGCCTGGGTAAGGCAAACCCATAGCGAACAACGTAAATACCATGCCTTGGTATAGCACCCCATTAGAGAAGTCTCATGCATTTTGGCAAAATCAATGAAGCCTCACAATCTGTGAGGTGGTCGATACTATGTTCAAATGACAACGGGACCAGAGAGTTGGCTCACTCATTCAAAGTCACACAGCAAGTCAGCAGGGGAGCCAGGAATAGAAACTAAGGCTACAGACAGGCGTAACTGTTTCAACTGACACTGATATAAGATGTTACAACATAAATGTAACCTCTGCATGTTCCTGCAGTGCTGCAGATACAGCAAAGCTGCTGCAACTTTAATCCAGCTTCATTGGGGTAAAAGTTACTGAATTGTTGCTAATGCACAGCTGTAACCATTATATCGTAGCAGCTGATGCCTGCTCCTGAGCAGCAGCTTTTCCTCCCCTTTTAAAATGGTTAAAAGTTAAAGTTTCACCATAGTCTATATTTGCCAACTCCTAGCCCTAGGTTTTAGCATAGCTGTATATTAGCACCTTCTATTCATCTTTTATTCAGTATAAAAATAAAATTTCGTATTATTTTCTAATAATGGAATGATCTTTGGTACAGCTTCATGTATACTGATACCTTCACTAGGAAATCTACACGTAATTTAACTTGAAAAACTCTTGTTTCTTTAATTGCAAACATCTGATTTCTACACTGGTCAAGTGTTCAGATCTAAGAGCAATCGTGATCACACATCTTTGCTTAACTTAATGAAATCTTTATATGCACTGGGAGCATGGCAGTCAGGTATGAATAATCCTTAGCTGTCAGATGGTCTATTGTATACGAGATCCAGACAAGTCACCCGTGTAGCTTTTAAAAGTTACAGTGCTTTTGCTATCTTAAACCTAAAACCTAAAAGATAGGAACATTATCTCTTGCTCATTAAAAAGATGAAAAAACACATTTTCAACCCCCACAAATTTCTCTACACAAATCAGATTTCTCATCATTGTAACTGTTGAAACAACCAAGCAGTACCTGAGATGATTTTGGGAGTCTGAATTTCCACAAATCCCTTGCGAATGAGAGTTTCTCGAAAGAGCTGACAGATACCAGATTGAAGGCGGAAGACAGCCTGACTAGTGGAAGTCTACAAGGAAGGAAATAAAATCATGAATCCTAAAACAGTCTTACTTTCTGGACTTTATTACTTTGTCAAGGCAGTTACAGATTGTTAAAGCTCTCGTCTCAGGAATGCTTATTATCCTACTCAAAAGTACCTGAAAAGTGATGTCCAAGTGGAGATTTATTTATTAGAAATAGAAACAGCAAAAGGTAACAGATGAAAGTCTTTTATTTCAATTTACGGTTCATTCAATTACAAAGAGGACACTAGTGCACGCTGCACTCAAAGAACCACTGATTTGTAAGACAAATACTACTGAAAGATGAGATTTACAGTATGACAAAACCATGAACATTAAACCTATTAGAAAGCTTTCACTGCATTGAACCAAAACAGATGTGGAAATTTATAGTATATTATAAATGCAATGTCCTTGGTAAAATACATTATGGAGAAAGGTTTTAGTCCACTTAAAAAGATAAGGGCCACGTCCAGATGAGTGCAGAAGTGTGGTATGTGGTGCTGTAGACCCATCTGTGGCGCCACACTGAACACCTAGGTGTTCCCCGCGCTACTACTTTGCAGCACAGGATTTTTTTTTCTTTTTTTGATCCCAGAAGCCAGGGTCAAAAAGATCCATATTAAAAAAAAAAAAAAGCAGGGCGGCACATATGGTGGTAGTGTGTACTGCCCAAAATCGGAGCCTGGCCAGCTGGAGCCATGCCCACCAGGCTCCCTGCTGCTGCAGGAGCACCGTGACTGCAGCTCCCAGAGGACACCAGGTAAAGCTGCTGGGGCCTGCGCAGTTGCTAGCCCTAGCCTCCCCTACCTTACCCAGGGTAGCCTGCTGCACGCCAGAATATGAGGCACAGGTGATTCCCCGGGACCAGCAGCAGCAGCACAAAGGGAGCCACTGCTACTTGTCCTCAGGGAAACACATGGTCCCACTTGTCTGGACATGGCCTAAGACTACCATACTCGATAGGACCAATGGTCCTTTAAGTTCAGTCTCCTGTCTCTGACAGTGGTAGGGTTGGATGCTTTAGAGGGAGAGCACTGAATCAGATATATCTAGAGTAATCTACCCCTGGCATCTACCATCACTGGGTTAGAAAGATGCTAGAAGAAACATCTTCCAACTGTTCTGTTTAATAGCTATTGAGAGATCTGTTGTACAGGGTCGCTAATTGGCTGGAGGGCTGCACCCAGAGAGTGGTGGTGGACAGGTTGTTTTTGACTTGGAGAGATGTGGGCAGTGGGGTTCCTCAGGGCTTGGTCCTCAGGCCTGCACTGTTCAACATCTTCATCAGCGACTTGGACGAGGGGGTGAAAAGCACCTTGTTCAGATTCGCAGACGACACTAAGATGTGGGGAAAAGTGGGCACACTAGAGGAGAGGGACAGGCTGCAGTTAGATCTGGACAGGTTACAGAGGTGGGCGGATGAGAACAGGATGGGTTTCAGTATTGACAAGTGCAACATGTTGCACCTGGGGAGGAAGAACCAGCAGCATACCCATAGTTCGGGGAACTCCCTTCTCGCCAGCACAGAGGCAGAAAAGGATCTCGGAGTCACTATTGACTCCAAGATGAACATGGGCCACCGATGTGGGGATGCGGTCAGGAAGGCACCTTGTCATGCATCCACAGATGCATCTCAAGCAGGTCCAAGGAGGTGATCCTTCTCCTCTATGCGACACTGGTCAGGCCGCAGTTGGAGTACTGCGTCCAGTTCTAGGCACCGCACTTCAGGAGGGGTGTGGACAACATAGAGAGGAGGGTCCAGAGGAGGGCTGCTTGCATGATCAGGGGGCAGCAGGGCAGGCCCTATGAGGAGAGGCTACGGGATCTGAACCTGCTCAGCCTCCACAAGAGGAGGCTAAGAGGGGATCTGGTGGCCCTCTATAAACTGGCCAAGGGAGACCAGCAGGCAATGGGAGAGTCCCTGTTCCCTCCAGCACTACCAGGAGTAACAAGGAATAATGGCCATAAGTTGACTGAGAGTAGATTCAGGCTAGATATCAGGAGGCGCTACTTCACTGTCAGGGCGGCTAGGATCTGCAACCAACTTCCAAGGGAAGTGGTGCTCGCTCCTACCCTGGGGGTCTTCAAAAGGAGGCTAGATAATCACCTAGCCGGGGTCGTTTGACCCCAGTACTCTTTCCTGTCCATGGCAGAGGGTCGGACTTGATGATCTGCTCAGGTCCCTTCCGACCCTACCAACTATGAAACATTAATTTGTCGAGCCCCTTTTTGAACCTGGCTATATTATCTGTCTCTATAGCCTCCTGTGGCAATGAGTCTCACAAGTTAACTATACATTACATAAAAGTATTTTCTTGTTAGGTTTAAACCTGACTCCTACTAATTTCAGTGGGTGCACCTAGTTCTAGTATTCTGGGACTTGGTGACTAACAGTTCCCTATTCCCAGGTGACTTTGTACCGTTTGTGATATTGCAGACTTCTAGCATATTCTCCCTTAGCCTCCCCATCAGTTTGGAAGGGAGCCTAGCATTTTAGTCTCTCTTGGCATGGTGGCTACTCCATACCCCTGAACATTTTGATTGTCCTTCCCTGTTCCTTTTCTAATTCTACCACATCCTTTGAGATGTGGAGACCAGAATGACACAGTATTCAAGATGTTGGTGTACCATGGATTTACATGGTGGCATTATGAAGTTCTTCCTTTTGTTTTCAATTCCCTTAATGATGCCCAATATTTTATTGGCTTTTTTGGTTGCTGCTGCACACTAAGCAGGCATTTTTAAAGCTATCTACAATGACTCCAAGGTCAATTAAAAAGCCAGCACTGTTTAAATATCGAGGTTATATTTCCCCTAAGTGCATTACCTTGCACTTGTCAACATTAAAGTTCATCTGCCATTTTTTGTCTTTTTGCTTAGCTTCATAAGAAATTTCTGCAGCCTTTCTTCATCTTGGTATTTGACTACCTTGAATAATTTGGTCTCATTTGCAAACTTGGAGATTTCACTGTGTACCCCCATTTGAAGGTCACGAATGAAAACGCTGAACGAAACTGGCCCCACCACAGATCCCTGTGGGACCCCAGCTTCTGATCTCCCTCCTTTTTAGACCATTTCACCTTACCTTTTGCTTCTTATCTTTTAACCAACTTTCAATCCACAACAAACCTTTCCTACAATCCTGCAGCAACACAATTTTTCAAAAGCCTTTGTTGAGGGTGCCAAAAGCTTTCAGAAAGTCTAAATATATCATGTCAGCTGGATTCCCTTTGTCCATGTGCTTGTTAACGCCCTCAAAGAACTCCAGCAGATTAGTAATGAAGGATTTCCCTCAACAAAAACTATGCTGACTTTTCTAGCAGATCAGATCTTTTCACGTTACAGCAGATTTTATTTTTTAATATAGATTTTACCAATCTACCAGGGATGGAAGTGAGACTCACTGGTCTGTAGTTCCCAAGATCACCTCTGGAGCCTTTTTTAGGATAAATGTTATGTTGGTAACCTACAAGTCCTTTGGCACAGAGACCATTTGTAATGATAGGTTATATAGTATTGCCAGCAGCAAAACAATTTAACCTTTGAGTTCCTTCAGGACTCTCGGGTAAATGCCATCCAATCCTGGTGATTTTGTATTTATCAATTTGTTCTAAAACTTATTCTATTGTCACTTCAGTGTGATCCAACCTTCAGACCTATCTAACCGGAACGATGGATCTGGCATGGGAATTCCTCCAGTATCTTCAGTAGTAAAAAAATCAAAAAAAAATCAATGCAATGGATTTATTTAACTTCTCTGCTATGACCCTATCTATCCATGAGTGCACTCTTTATACCTCAGTCACCTAATGGTCCCGCTAATTTTCTCGCTGGCTTCCTGCTTCTGATAGATTTACAGACTTCAGCATCTTTTGCTAGACACTCCTCAACTTGTTTTTTGGTCTGCCTTATTTTACACTAGATTTACCAGAGTTTGTGATCTTTCCTGTTTTCTTCATTTGCCAAAGAGCTTTCTGCTTTAATGCACCGCCTGTCTACAG